GTGCACCTCTGGGATTTCAGTGCAGCTTCTTGCCACTAGGCCACCAGAGCTCCCTCTTTTTGACTTCTGATTGCAGTAAGAGTTTACAGAGTTCAGTAAATCAAGATAGTAAGATCTTCAAAAGATTCTCTTTCATCTTTGTTTCCCAGCAAATATAATGACTACCACCCAAGTACTGAGTCCAGTTCAAGGGTGGTTTCTTCCTACAGCCACAAAGAAATCTTTCCTCCCTTATTACAGCTGTGCAACCTGTCTCTGAGAAGGGACACAGAGATGCTGGCCTCTGTGAAACTTATCTACTTTCCTTCCCAGAAAGAATTATTACCTACTGGTTGCAGAGGGCTTTCAGGTTCCTCTGGGGGATTTTTCTGAAAGTCTGTCACAGCAGTAGAGTAGTATCTGGAGGGAAGAAGCCATCTAATCCAGGGTCTTCCTCTCTTGAGCTGTCCTGCCACCTTTCAAAGCATGATGTCCTCCAAGTACTGGCTCCTCCTGGCAACCTACCCAAAGTATGTGAAATCGAGCTTCAAAATCCTTGCTTCCAAGGTACAACCTGGTTTTACCCTCTCCAGAACAGACCTATTTGTTCTCTTGGCAGTCCATGGTGAGTTCAATACTCTTCTCCAGCACCGCAATTCAAAAGCATCCTTTCTTTTTCTGTCATTCTTAATCATTGTCCAGATCTCTGATGTATAGCAAGTAATTGTGAAGGCTATGGTCTGAACCAGGTGCACGTTAGCAAGAATGGTGAAACTCACAGACTTTGGGCACATTGCCAGGAGTCCTTGGAAAAAGACATGGTAGTGGCAAAGGTGGAGGGTGAGCAAAAAAGAGAGGAAGATTTTCAACTAGATGAACCTGACATAGTGACTACAGCAGTGGGCTTGAGCATGACACAGTTTGTGCAGGATACGGTGAAGTTCAGTGTGTTGTTCATAGGGTCCGTGTGTGTCATCGTCGACTGCACAGCATCCAGAAGAGCAGCAGCTTCTTTCTTCCCAGAGGTAGGCAGGCTGGTCAGCTCTGAGAGCGGGAGGGGAGGGAGCAGAGGTGCACTGTGGAAGCCCTGGCTGGCTGGCTGGCCAAAGGGTCCCTGCACTCCTACCTGTTTGCCTCAGGAGAAGGACTTTTAAATGGATATTGTGTTCTAACACAATCAGGGAATATGTGGAAACCTTGGGAGAATGTGACAGTTCTTGCTAGAAGTTTATACCTCTCAGAAAAAGAATGGTGGCTTCCTTTTCTCTAAATTTGTAGGCAAACAG